CTAAACCCTACCCCAAAACCCCTAAACCCTAAACCCTAAACCCTAAACCCCTAAACCCCTAAACCCCTAAACCCTAAACCCCAAACCCTAAACGGGGTATTGGGTAGTTCGGGATGGAGGATGTGCCGGGGTGACGAGGTGAAGTTCGGAGATTTTGGGGCCTCGGCGGCTCTTTTTCGGAGGTTTCAGCATGGTGGGCGCGGGGTTGGGAGGTTTCGTTTAGGGTTTAGGGGTTTAGGGGTTTGGGGGTTTAGGGTTTAGTGTTTAGTTTTAACTGTAAACCGAAGCCATGAACCTTAAACCTGAACCTAACAACCCTGGAGCTACAACCCTAAACATAAGCCTACATCCAAGACGCCCACGCCGAAAGTCGTAAAGGCTGAAACCCTAAACCTGAAGCACGCCCTGAAAGTCTAGCCCCTAGCAAGTCCGTGTAAAGGATCGGATCCCCGAAGTGGATACCTTGCAAACACTAGTAAACTTGTTCTCTTTTGTGGATTCAGGGTTTTTAGGGTTTGGGCTATCCTTAAAAGGAGCTCTTCTGGATCCCCTTAAAGAATCCCTTATAGATCCCTTCAAAGGAGCTCTTGTGGATTTTCTCAGAGGGTCTCTGTAGCAGGTCCATAGCCTGGGGGCCGACGCTTCCGACCTCGCAGCTTCGCAAGGAGGTGACCGACCGCTTTGACATCAACAGGCGCCGGGCTTTGTAGGCGTTTTTTCTTTGAGGGGGTGGGGGTGGGGGGTTTATCAAGATTTTCTCTTGGTTTCGTGGAGGTTTTATTAAGAGGTCCTATACAGGCAATGAAGAGGCGGGGCTTAAAGCATTAGGATCATTAGGGCATTTACGGTGTGGGGGTTTAGGTCTTTTGTTTAGGTCTAAATCTCAAGGGGTTAAAGGGATTCGATCTTTTTGTTGTTCGGGGTTGGTGATCAAAAGGTTTTATGCCAGACGGGTTCGTGACGGACCCAACAAGGGCTACAAGGGCTGAAGCTTATTTCAAACTAAGTGAGGGAGGGCTCTTCGGGCTTCGGCTTTCGGGGATTCGGGGCCTTACAGTAGGCCTTTTTCAAAGGCCAAAACCTGCGCACTAAGCCCTGACCCTAAACCCTAAACTCTAAACCCTAAACCCTAAACCCTAAACCCTAAACCCTAAACCCGAAAAAACCCGGAAGCTCTCACGGAAAAAGCCAGAAAACAACTCTCTGGAGCGCTGCGGTGGAAGCTTTCGTACCCGAAACCTCCGAACCCTAAACTCCGTAAACCCTCAGACAGAAAACAAAAACAGCTAAACCCTAAACTCTAAACCCTAAATCCTAAATCCTAAACCCTAAAAACTCTCAACCCTAAACCCCAAACCTTCAAGCCTGCAGGGCCCCAAAGCACATTGGCCTTATGCCCGCCTTGTCGGGCTCCAAGCCGCACAGAGTACTCTTTCATTTAGGGTTTAGGGTTTAGGGTTTAGGGTTTAGGGTTTAGGGTTTAGGGTTTAGGGTTTAGGGTTTAGGGTTTAGGGTTTAGGGCCAAGCCTACTGTGCCTTAGAGTTCCCCATATGAAGTATAGTATATATACCAGCATACTCTACCCCCCCAAAACCCTATGCTACTTCTGGCAACCATCGTCGTAGAATATACCCCCAAATGCCCGACCTTAATGACCCTAAACCCTAAACCCAAAACCCTAAACCCTTCTTGAGGCCCCTAGAGTAGATTGACCAACGTTCCAGGTCTCTTTGGCTTTTCTCCGGCGACCTTCCCATGGGCCCGACCTCGAAGGCAGGCGAAGTGTAGGGTTTAGGGCTCAGGGAATTCAAGAACAAACCACGGTTTTGGCTTTAGGTTTTAGGGTTCAGTTTTGAGGGTTTAGGGTTAGTAGTTTTCAAACTGTTAATGTTTGCACAATCAATCAATCAACCAGCCAATCAATCAATCAATCAATCGATCAATCAATCAATCCATCTCCCCATTCATATATTCATCTGTCGATGTTTCCATCTTTCCATCTATCAATCTATCCATCGACGCAGCTGTCAATCCATCCACCTATCCACGTTTGTATCTATCAGTCTTCCTAGCTATCTATCTATCTATCTGTTTGTTTGCCTATCTATCTTTCCGTATACCTACCTACCTACCTGCCTGCCTGCCTGCCTGCCTGCGACCTACCTACCTACCTACCTACCTACCTACCTACCTACCTACCTACCTACCTACCTATCAATCTGTCCGTCTATCTCTGTATCTCTCTATCTCCGTATCTCTGTATCTCTCTAGCTATCTTTCTATCTTTCTATCTTTCTATCTTTCTATCTATCTATCTAGCTAGCTAGCTATGTATCTGTCTATCTGTGTATCTGTCGACCTTTCCATCTACCTATCCATGTATCCACCTATGCAGCTTTCCATCTATCAATCTTTCCATCTATCCGTGAATCTGTCTATCTATCCATTCTTCAATTTATCCATCTATCTGTCTATCCGTCTATCTATCCGTCATTTTTTGTTTACCTATCCATCTATGCAGCTATCCACCGATCAATCTATCCACGCATCTATCTATCAATGCATACCTATCTATCTATCTATCTGCCCGTCTATCTTCCTAAACTCATCTATCCATCCACATCCATCTACTCCTCTATCTATCCACGTATCGATCCATGGATTGGTAGGCCTCTCTGTCACACTGTCTCTCTCTCCCTCTGTCTCTCTCTTTCTCTCTCTGTCTCTTTGTCTCTCTCTCTCTCTCTCTGTATTGCTCCCTCTCTATCTCTGCCTGTATCATATATACACGTACATGTTGTGTGTGTATATATAGATATAGTTGTATACACACATACATACGTACGTACAGACAGACAGACACACATACCACACCACTACATGCGGGCACAAGTCTGTGGACAGTAACCGCATGGCCGCGATCTTCGCCGCCGCCCTTCTCCTCGTCATCATCATCATCATCATCATCGTCCTCATCGTCATCATCGTCGTCATCGTCATCGTCATCGTCATCGTCATCGTCATCATCATCATCATCATCATCATCATCATCTGCATTATCATCCTCAACACCACCACTACCATCATCATCATCATTAACATCGTCATCATGATCATCATCCATGACTATCATCATCACCATCATCATCATCATGGTCATCATCATCACCATCATCATTCTCAGTATCGTTAATTATCATGCTCACCATCACCATCACCATCACCATCATCGTCGTCGTCATCATCATCAGCATCGTCGCCTTGTTTGAATGCCATGAGTGTTTTGCCAGGCCAGCGCAGCACCACTCACATGCTGGGAGCTTCTGAAGCCTCTTGTACTGGCGTTAAGCCTTTTGTTAGCTCACACGTCCGAAGTCCAAGAAGCTTCTTACAGGTCTTTATGCATCTGGGACCCGGCCACGTCTGGTTTTAACCTATTGGGGTCCCTTAATTTTGTTAATCTGGATGCAAGGCAGCAGGTGGGACCCTCTCTGAGGTACATGGACGTCATGTATGCGCCAGTCCAGGATATCCCAAGGTTTATGAAAGTCCCGGGCGAAGATCGGACCTTGAACCGCGGCCAGCTCGAGGTGGCTGCAGCTGACTACACCACTGGCAAGGCATGCAGCTTCTGATCCGACTCTCACGTCAGCATGCTACCTGGTCTCGCCTGGCTTCGGTAGCATGTAGAAATTAAGGCGTTGGGTTTAAGGTTTTAAACGCATTGGGTTTGGGTTTCGGTTCTTGGGTAAAGGATACCCAAGCTGTGTTGCGCCGCTACCGCCTGCTATTGTTGCCGATCTCTGTGTCGATTCTGGAAACGTTGAGACTTTATTTATTATTATTATCATTAGTTTTTTTATATTTTTTATGTATTTTTTATTGGGGGGGGGTGTATGTGTCCCGTAAAACTTAGTCTTCTAACTTTCTGAGCATTTCCACTGCTATCACTAGGTTACCAGTACCGGGTCCCGCATTGCCAATAACGTAAATCCTACACTTCGCACCCGGAAATCTAAACCTGAAGCTTGTAGTATATGGCATTCAAGCACTCCTACCTTCCATCCTCAACCTTTTAAAGCTTCAACTCTAAGATCCTAGAAATACCCAGGAGAACCTTGAAGCCGTACTATTTCATTCCCCAATGCTGATAAGGGTTCAGGGTTTAGGGTTTGGGGTTGGGATCCGAATATCAAAGCCCTTGAGGAAAGCCGGGGTATTTAACAGGGGTGTTCATCCTAAACACCTAAGAAAACCCTAAACCCTAAACCCTAAACCCTAAGCCCTAAACCCTAAACCCTAAACCCTAAACCCTAAACCCTAAACCCTAAGCCCTAAGCCCTAAACCCTAAACCCTAAACACCTAAGACCCCACACTTTCTCAAGGCTGGCGGTATCTGAAACGGCACTGCTGGGCGGCGGCCGGCATCCCCTGCACCAACAGATTGCAGCTCTAGCGCACGCGGTGGCTTCCCCGGAGCATCTCCGCTGGCTTTTGATCGTTTTAGTTTTTTGGGGTAGTGCGCTTTTTTCAACAAAGGGCTCGTACATCGTTTTATATGCCTAGTGAAATCCAAAGCACGTTTTGTAGGAATTCATGAGTTTCTAAGGTTTTGCACGTGTTTTTATTCTGCCAACTTTACAGCCAGAAACAAGTCGTGTGAATGTAGGGCTTCTTACGATGATTTAAGGTCTATCCCTTGTTGAAGGAGTATGGGGTTCTAAGCTTAGAAGCAGCGTTTTACGAATGTACGTTTTGCGCTGATATGTTTTTCTGGTTGCTGCTTTGGGAGTTTAGCGTTTTGAGGCTGAAGTGAGAATCCCTGCATCGCTGAATCCTCAGACCATTCATCCCTGGACTTTTGTGTCCACGTTCATTTAAACCTTAGACCTTAGACTCTACAAAGTCTCCAGGGTTTAGGGTTTAGGGTTTAGGGGGTCCAGCCTTTCAGACTTGTCCGGGAGGAACGCCGCAAAGATTTTGGTAGCGCGAGAAGCTCTGTTGGCAAAGAGCAACGAGCACGTGCTGCTCGACACGGCCGGAATCATCGGCTTCTTCGCGACCATCACTGTGGTGGTCGACTTCACGGGCCACTACAGCGATGACATCCTCAAGAAGACAGAGATGATGGTCCAAAGCTCAGCCTTCGGATCAGCTTTGTTGCCAAGCTCTCTCTGCATCGGTAAACGCAAACTTCAAAACTGTAGGACGTGACAGGTGCGGCCTGCGTTGCTACTGTTGCCCCCGTCCCCCGCCTTCTCCCCCTCCCCCTCCCCCTCCCCCTTCTTTTCATGGTGATGGCGAGTGTGATGATGCTGATGTTTACACGCACCGCCACGGAGCCGATGGTGGTGGGGTTCGGGCGGGTTGGTGGCAGTGGTGGTGCTGGCGGCGGCGGGGCGGTAGCGATGACGGCTCAGATTCAATTGCAATAAACAGCCTTTTCCCTAAACCCTAAACCCTAAACCCTAAACTTCGAAAGTGCCTGCAGACCCAAGCTGAAGAAGCCCCAAACTAGAGTCTCGAAATTTAAACCTGCAGCCCCAAAATCTCAGCCCCAAGCCCTGAATCCTAAACTCCCATAAGCCTAATGTAGGGGCTTAAATAATTACCAAGACTATTTCTTGGGGGGTTCCTCTTTTCTAGTTATAGTTTTATATGCCCCAAAACCCCCCTATTCTGATTATTAAGACCCCTAAACCCCAAACCCTAAACCCTCAACCCTAAACCCTATACCCTAAACCCTAAACCCTAAACCCTCTATTACATCCGAAGCAAGGCGGCAGTTATCTCCGGTGGCCGACGCTTCCGTGAGACTCTCCGGTCGAGCCTCTGCCTTCCCGGGGCCTCGAGGTTTTAGGGTTTAGGGTTTAGGGTTTAGGGTTTTAAAGCAGCCTGGGATTCGGGCTAGAAGGGCTCCTGAGACAGGAATCCCGGCTGAATCGGGAGGAACTCCCCAGATCTAGGAAGAGGTGGGGATCAAAAAATTGGTGACTTGAGGGTTATCGGATTCAGGGCCTTCAGGCTTTGAGGCCCTGTAAGGGTTTAGGGTTTAGGGTTTAGGGTTTAGGGTTTAGGGTTTAGGGTTTAGGGTTTAGGGTTTAGGGTAAGGCTTCATGTGTTTCCGAGGTTTCCCTTTGTTGAGGTTCAAAGTTGTGGGCCTGATCCAGCAGCTTCGGGATCGGGTCCTGCATGGATTTTTGTGTGCTGTGCTGTGCGGGTGTTGCATGCTGGCACCGGCAATCCGGCTGGGTGTGAGATGGACTTCCTGCCGTGCTTGCGCATGAAGCGATGCCTCAGAAGAGCTTGCATTCCAGCAACTTAGAGCATCCTTTCACCCTCTACCCCAAACATCCCTGAAGTCTCAAGCAAGAGGCTCAGCAAGTTGCATTGCTGAAATGCAGGCATGTGTGGCTGAGCTCATCCCATGCTGTCCGGAAGATGGAAAGGCTGAGATTTAGCTTATTCGGGGCACACACAGACGCGGTTGTCAAGAAAGCAGAGGCGGAAGAAGACGAATGCCGACTGCAATGCTCCCAAGTTCACATTCGAAGGATTCGGCAATAGATCTTACACGCTGAAAATACAAAAACCGTCGCCTTTCAAGTCTACGCCCTTCACTGTCGACGTGCACCCCAAGAAGTTCAATCACCCTGTTCAGGAATTTGCTTCTCCGTAGGGCAAGCACATCGTATTTGAGCACGTGCTCCCACAATCAAAGCTAGTTTTTGAATCCTGTTACTTAGGACTTAGAGGTTCAGTGGTCTGTGTGTGTGGGTTATGACAGACATGAGTTGGAAGAAGCAAAAATCGAGTCTGACATCGGCGGCAGCGGACCCTATCCAGATCAGAAACGTTGCGGAACCCTCCAAAGCACACGCTAGAGAAGTATTCACCCCAAGCGAAGCCCCAAAGTGGAAATCTGAAGTCCTGGTCAGAAACTTTAACCCCGAGGCTCCAGGCCGGAAACGCCATAAGCCATATCTCTCTGGCTCCAGTACTTTGCAACGTACTTCCATGACCCTTGAGTCTTCTTAAAAGGGCCGAAGGGTTTGGTTTAGGGTTTGGGTTGCTCGAGCTTGTTCCGAGCAGCAAGCCACGGTGGCAACACCGGCTAGTCCTCAACTCAGCCAGTTGAAGTGGCGCAGTTGCGGCTGCACTTGTTGCAGGAGTGGGCTGCACCCCTCTTTCTCCCAAAAGGGGGGGATAGGTGTGCTCGTAGTCCAGGCCTGGCAGTGCGGAGAACTTTCGACTGCTGCTGTAGCCACCATGTCAAAGCGGACGGAACAGAACATTCGCCGTGGTTTGCCTCAGCTAGTCCTAGACTGGGCTGGTACGTATCGAAATCTGAGTCTTTTGGGTTAGGAGGCTTGCCCCAATCTTGATCCAGCATAGTACTGTAGCCGGAACTTGCGGGGAGGAATCCTCCGGCCTCCGCGACACCCTAAGCCAAACATCTTCTGCAGGAGTGTGTGTCGAGATGAGTGCAAGATTGGCCTTGCTGCAGTAGTGCAGATGTCTAGAGAATCCCTAAACCCTAATCCCTAAACCCTAAACCCTAAACCCTAAGGGTTTAGGCGTGGTTTGGGGGGTTAAGGATCCCTTGCTCTGGGCTCTCTAGGTTTTTTTGTATTTCTGTGGTTGACAGTTTTGTTCACAAAACCCCATGAGCCCTACGAAACCGGTATAAAGTTAATTAAAGACCCTATGACATCCTATAAAGCCTCACGGACTATGTCGTAAACACGCTGCGGAACCTAAACTCCCTGAGCCTAAACCCTAAACCCTA